TTGAATCAACCATTTGAAATCTCTGAAGCTAAAATCCTTTCTTAGTTCGCCTTCATTATTGTAGCACATTGTAAGCGCTTTCTCTGCTGCTATTTCTGCAAGAGTCTCAGGTCCTCTTGGCATAGTTTACGAGGAGAATGGATTCAAAGCAGTGGAACCCTAAACTTACTCCTCTTGGAGGGTTTGTCCTAGGGCTGTACGCCGTCGCCGTATTTACGGTTTTACGGGACCCGTAATACGGTCACCGTAGCCGTACCGTTGACCATTTCAGCAAGATTTCGACGGTACGGCTACGGTACGGTTTGGCACCGTACTTGGCCGTAATTTTACGGCCATAACGGCATCATACGGCAGTACGGCGTCTCGTCCTCTTACCATTCATTGAGTCCTTCATCAACGTGTCCAAAGTGATATGAAGCGCGTTATTTTCTACTTCCCATTGTTATATGTGATAATAAAACTTTCCCTGAACTATTACAGTACTCAAAGGTCACGTCATTAATGATGCCATTGAAAGAAAATCACAGAAAATCATTCTCTTCGCTCTCCTATGGGACAGGGGCCTCAAAATTTGGAGTATTTCCCCTTGTGTTTACCACTAGTGACTAGTCTGCATACCAATGCCACTCTGCTTTGCATGCTTTAGGTGCGTTGTACATTGATCAATCTTTTAAGCCTGAATTATTGGAGCAGACCTCATCGAGGTGGATCTAACTGTGGAGAAGGAAGTGCTTCAAGCTGCGAAAATTGGCTATAAAAGTTTCTCAAAAAGTTTGGATTGTAAGCTATCACTTTTCACCACTTTCTTTCTACCATGTTGACTCGGTGTGTACAAGATGACTTCAGAAACCTCAACAATGTCAACGATATTGAGTTCTTCCGCTCAGAGAGTGACAAGACATCAATTTTTAAGTCGTTAATGACAGGTATATATTATTTTTATTGATTTAACCATCCCATCTTACAAATGATAATACAGACTTAGGTCATGGCAAGAGGATTTTCAAAGCTGATAAGCTCTCTGCATTACTCGTCTCTAAACAGCTCAAAGAAAATAGGGTACCGACCAAATATTTCAGTTGTCAAACACGTACGACCACTGCAAGAAACCAAAAATACAGAGTCTGCTGACAACTGGGATGCTGAATATCTGTCTGCGCCACCCAATACAGACTCTTCAGACCCCAAAGACAATGTCATCCCCTTCAATGGCGAAGTAAGTGTGTTCTCAATGGACTACTAAATATGTTTAAGAAAAATCATCTCTACACCTGCCGTACAACCGTAAAATGCCGTTTTGACCGTAAATTCATCCGTACCGTGCCGTTGGGCAGTTGAAATCAGCGTTACGGCTACGGTATACGGCACTTCCGTAGCCGTCCAGGAGCCGTACTTATACGGCCGTATGCCGTATACGGTACGGCGTACAGCCCTAGTTTGTCCTGGGCTTTGAGGAGGTTTGCCGTTGGGGATCGCGCATAGCGGGAAAAGAATTGGAGAAAAAGCATCAAGGTTATAGTTACGCTCTTAGGCTGGTCATGAAGAAGAAGACAGATCTTATTCCCATCCGTTTGAAACCGACTCCAGATGCCACAAACTTGGAGCGTTACTTCTTTCTTCTCACCAGAATCGCCGACCCCTCCGATCCAACATGCATACATGGCGAACTCGAAGATCGTGTGCATGCATGGTTAGTGAAGCAGGGGGTAATCGTTGAAAAGAAAGATTACCTTGTCATTGATTCCAATGATCCTTTTATGTAGTTTTTCTTCTCGTTGTCTAGATACTTTGCGTTCCATCATTCTTTGAATTTTGATACTGAGCATCCCAACACTCGTCCACACCCGTAACCAAGGACTAGAATGAACAGTACATAACATTCACCGTACACCCAACCCATTGTAAAGTAGCTCAGGAACCACTGCATCTATGTATGATGTACCAGCATTGCATACTCACCCAGCTGCAGGAATAAATGCGGTACTTCTCTGATAGGGAATAGTTATATTTGTTATGCACCTTCCTCAGTTCATTAATATGGAATACACGTCCTTTAAATAGCGTTGATAATCGGCAAGAAGGTACAATTAACATCTACCCGATCCACTCTTCCCGAAATCCATCCGTATAGCCGATTGATTTCATTTCTCGTCATATGTATCAATAATCCCCTTCAAAAATCTATTCATCTTCAATGCACAGTCCTGCTAATCCCCAACAGCAAAGACAAGGTCCACAAACAGCGAGGTATCTGAACCACTGTAATCGCCGTGGACAGCTAAATCAACGGGTCCAGAGCACGATCTCGCAGTGTATCCAGGAGAGCACAGGACGCGCTCTTGGAAAGATTAATCAACCTTCAAGAGTTGATTTTCAATTTGTTCTATCCCTTTCGCCTTCTGTGCTGCAGCATTGGCTGCAGATAGATAGGTATCTATAAAGAGTCGGTCAATGTGTATTCGAAGACGAGGATCAAGGACGTAAGAGGAGCCAGTCCGACGACAAACAGACATTAGAATCAGAAGGCAGTCCATGTTACGACCTCTAAGCGAGTAGAATGAATACTTATAGTACAGTCCTAGCTCTCCATCCAGCTACATTCGTACACTGGGATTTCGAAAATAGCGTGATGGGGTGCACTGTCAGAGAGGGAGCCCGTTATAAAGCCGAGGACGGTGAACTGATACAAGGACCACCATGTCCCACCAAGCCAACAGCGGGTGGGACTCGCGGATCACACTCCCCATCAACCAAGAGCGTTGCTGAACCCCACCAAAGCGCACCAACCAGCCTCACCACAGTCAACCCAGAACAGACATTGAACAACGTAAAACACAGGAGAAAGAAAAGAAAGCGAAACGCAAAAAACAGAGCCACTCACTCCAAAACAAACTAACAATGCTCACAACTACCAGCCTCAAATGTGGCGGGACGAGAGAGAAGTTGATTATTTGCGTGGGGATGAAGACGCCCCAATTGCGGACTAGGGTGGGTACGTAGGCCTGGAGCGAGAAGAATTAGTAACAGTACGAAGAAGAGCCGAAGCATATAGAAAGGAATGAATGAGCAGGAGGAACGAAGAAAGTGAGGGGCAGTGTGACGCAAAATCACCTCAACAACCAATGGAAACGAGACCAACACGACCGACGACCAACAAACACCACATAACATCGACCACCCACTCTCACCACTTTTTCGGGACATCGACCACCAGCGATGACAATGGGGAACCCCACTATTACACTGGTACCTCTCCTACACCCGTGTGAGCATGATCACACACGCTCGCGAAAACGCAGTCCCTGCAACAATCCATCAACCACGAAAGATGGATATCCACAACAACGATAGCGACCTCAATAACGTGAGTGACTCGCATCATGTAGGTATCGCCGAATTTCAACTAGGGTCTCGTTGACCGGTATTACGATCTCGTCTACCAGCGAGACCCGCACATCCACTTGCCCATACACCAAACTGGGGCATGCGACAACAGCGACGTTTTGAACCGCAGAACGAATAACGCGTCTGGTTATCTCAGCGGCCAGTAATCGTCTGCGAGCACCTACACGTATTACTGCACCCAGCCGACGGCGTACTCACTAGCAAAGGCGCGATAGTCTTTGTTTCGTCGAGGAACTAGTTTCCAACGGCCAACGTCCATAATCACTCCAGCAATGGGACAAGTAACAATGGAGCGACATCCGCCCCATGGTTACAGCGATGAACTCCGACTCTCGTCCCAGCCCAACCCCTACGTCCAAAGTCCCATTACCACAAGTCCCACCAACTCACAACACCATAACTGAAGACCACAATGAGAGAAGAACTAAAACGCACATTCTGAATTCTAGGCCACGCCTCCTTCGGCTTGCCTTCTAGCACGGCCATGGAGGTGTAGAACGCGGCGACGGCGCCGGGGGTGAGGATCGCCTGGTCGAGCCAGACCTGTGGGGAGGGGAGAGAACAGTGAGCAAAACGAAGGGAAGGAAGCACAAGAGCGACGTGGAAAGCCGAGCAACCCTAACCCACCCGGTATATCAACGCCTTGGTCGGGGACGCAAACTTGAGTTTGTTGAGGAAGGCGTACCAGTAGGTCATCGCAGGGCCGAACATGGCACCTATGAAGGGGAGGGAGTGTTGGTAACGGTGCATAGGAGCGAGTGAATTGCGCCAGACTCACCGCCATAGAACGTCAACCTCGCCGTGCGTATAAACTGTGTGGGAAGCCGTGTTAGCATCCATGCAAGCACCGCAAGGAATCATTGCGTTCCACAATCATCCTCCCTTCCCTCCTTCCTTCAAACTCTTTCCACGAACCAAAAACCAACACTCACATCATGTTCCTTCCCTCTCTTCTCCACCGCTTGCTGCGCGATCACATCTCCCGTTCCAAACAGAAAGGCCGCGGTAGCGCATTGTGTTGCTAGGGGACGGCGCAGGAGGAGGGCGCTATAGTCGCAGAAGAGGAACGTGAGTAAGTATAGGTGGGATGAGGAGGGACGTACTTGTATGCCCGTAGGAGACCAGCCATGCTCTTCTGCTTCTGCTTTTCGGGTTATCCTCCTTGAGAGTGTATGACGTGTCCTCTAGTCTAGTCTTCCTTCCAAATACTCGTGTATATCGTCCGTGTTGTAGCTGGTCCTGGTGAACAGTGAGATAAGAAAACGAGTGAAGAGCGAAAAAGAGCCAAAGGCCGGACGAAGAGTTCGAGCGCCCCGTGAACAGGAGCAAGAGCTTCAGCTCGGAGATACTTGCCGTCCAGGCTACACTTTTGGCCAGTAGACGCCGGTCCGGCATTCGGGCCGATCTTCACTTGCTCGTCCTCTTCAAGTCCTCTTCTATCTCCTATTCTACTCGTTCATTCTTCCTTCTCGTCTCCTTAATTGTAGTCCCTTTTTCATCCGAAGGTATTTTACCACGTTTCACTGATCGCAAAATCTTTATATTCTGCACAAGAGCTCAGTCCTCATAATCCAACTGGAAGCTACGTACCCTATGGGCATATGGTGTAGTTGGTTATCACGCTCGCTTAACATAGAGCTGTACGCACTCGTGCGAGGGGCGTTGGTTAAAATACTGGTGTGTCCATGATATTCCATTCTTGGTGATACTTTTCACTATATTTTTTTGAAATCATCCTTCAGATTTCACTTAAAATCCAGCCTTAGTGCTAAAAATAGCGTTTCTACGATGATTTTGATTTTTAATTCGATGATTATAGTAGAACATAGTGTAAAAAAGCACACTCCTTAATTATTATTATTACAGTGCATAAATCGGCCTTGTAATCAGGAAATTTCAAGGACACAGGGTGTATCGGCTACACGCTTGTCCGCTGTGCATATGATCGTTTAGCAAGTGAGGCCAGAGTGTTGGGTTCAACTCCCGGTGTGCCCATATCGCAAAATCGTAATTCCTTTTATTCTGGGTGCATTAAAATACAGCAATGAATTTAGCAGGACAGGAAAGGAATTGTAGGAGATATGGTTTACCGGAAGCACGCCCGCCCTCTTTTTGTAGAAAGACCCATGACTAGCCAAGAGCATGTGTTTCAGCTCCCAGTGTGTGCATAAATATAGTGCAAGGCACCCGAGGTGATATTTAAATATCTTCATTGCAGTGTGGTTTGCTCTACTTCCCACCGTTCGGATTCCAGCCCCTCTTGACCTTGGCAGAGGTGATACTCGTTCAAACTTGACAAATGTAGCCAGTCTCCCACAGAAGTCCTTGTTGATCGCCCATCTATGTATATAACCACTCCTTATGGCCTTTCTTTCGCCATATATACTGAAATAGCTCTCTCGGAGGGTCTAGAGCGTGAAGACATAGTAGAAAATTCGATAATATATTTTTCAATTGGAAACCGACTGGAGGTGTCTTATAAGGCTATTAATTTGAAGGTTCCTCAAAATTTATGACTATATATTCAAGAGCTATTTAACTATGGTAAGAGCTCACCCCCCACCTAATAATCTCACTACACAGAAGTATTCTGACATTAACCCTTCAATCTCCATTCAAGAAAACCACGGGGAATGTTTTCCTCTTCGAACTATATACGTTAAAACATTCATCGAAGCTGTCAAATTCCAGGAACTCATGATATGATGTTCTGAGAGAACATACCGAGTCATGATCTGGGTGTACTCTTCAATCTTAGAGCTTCTAAGATCTTTGATGTAGAAGGTGACAGCTTGCTTCCACCAATAGATTTACTCTTGTACTTGCACCTATCTGATAGGACGCATTTTAAAGCTTCCAAGGCTTTTGTTGTAGAGGATCGCCTGTTACTGCTGGCAATGAATTTACTTCCATGTTCACACCTGGTTTGACAGTAAACCCCTTTTTAACGGCCAGTTCCGAATTTAGAAATGAAATGGACAGCTTCGCGTACATAAGAACGAATGGGATATCGATGAAAAATATCAGCAAATATATTACCCATCCCAACCGCCCTGAAATTCTTAACATCACTATGTTATCCTCCAAGATCGTTCTTGCGGCCCTCTCCCTTTACAGCATCGCCTCTGCTGCACCTGCAGCGTTGGAGCCAAAAGCATCCGCCACAGTTACCGTCTGCACGGGCAGTATCGACCCTCCCGCCGGATGCGTTATTGTTGCTGTAGCCCCCGATAGCTGCGTCAGGTTCAGCGGTGGTCTCAGCGCTTGGAATAAAGCGGTATCTAACGCGCAGATACCCGGAGGATTTGTTTGCACCTTTATCCAGTATGTTTTAGCTGTATTTTTACGCCTACCCTTGGTGTTGAAGTTTGTACTTTAAATTTAGAACTATAGACTGTAGTAACAATGGTTCAACCGAGCTCTTTCTAGGTGCAGGAACTTGGGACTTGCTTGCTCTGGGTTTCAACGATTTGACGAGCTCGTTCACATGTTCGCCTGTTTAGTTGGTATGTGATCATCCTTTCCATTGATATTTAAGCTGACAGTCAAGGGAACATGCAAATACTTCAGGTCTTGTGCGAAATACTCAACATATGGAACCATTTCTGTGCATTCCCCTGCGAAAAATATCATAACCATTCTACCCTTCAGGTGTAGAATCTATTACATACAAAATAATGATACCACAGCCCAATTTATCTTTTTGCATACTATTTAGTCAATTCCTGTGGTCGCTCGATGGGTGTCCTCAAATATATCACCGTAGTGGATTGGAGATAAACCATGAGCAGAACATCAGTCTGTATGCTCTTTTACCTGCAGATTTTTAATCAACTAAGCATTAACAATATTATTCTCCCTTCATCTTTATCGTTATTCCATAAAATATAAATCCCACTCATATTTTGCAATTCAACCATACTTCTAACCCGACTTTCTACAAATCACAGCGGTGCACTGGGAAACAAGAACATTCAAGAGTCGCACGTCAATTTTTCCTTCTGTGTGAATAAATAATTTCCACGATCCGGTCCCTAAATCTCTCTCCCTCGCCAGTGGGGGTGCTACTTGTCAAACATAGCTAGTGTCATGCGGGAGTCTTTGCTGATCGTCTACCTATATATGTAACAGCTCCTGCTCACCCTTCTTTCGTCATATATGCTGATATAGATCTCTCGGAAAGTATATAACGTGGAGAACTAGGAGCAGATTTTATAATATCCTTCTGCGCCCTTGGTAATCTGAAACCGGAACTTGCGATAAGGTTATTAGTTTGAGGGCTCCTTTTAAAAATAAGCGACGATGTAATTTAGCCTCGGTGAGCTCGTGAGCCACCTAGGAACGTCACGGCATATGTTTCCCGCCCTCCATATCCATATGTTGAAACAATTTATCGAAGCTGTCAACTCTCCGGTTTGACAGGAAGCAAGTTCACAATGTATGGACAGCTCTGCTTACCTAAAATGGAGCATGATACCGGTGTCTCCATCCTGATTCCTAAAATTGTATATAAGACATGAAATAACTCATAAACAATAGTCATCCCATCCCGCCGACTGTTCTGGAATTTTAACATCACAATGTTCTCCACCAAAGTCGTTCTTGGGGCACTCTCTCTTTGTTCTGTTGCCTCTTCCATACCCGCGGTGTTAGATCCAAGAGCTGGTCCTACACTAATGACCCTCTGCATCGATAGTAATTCTCCACCCAACAGATGCACTAATATTGTTGTTATCGGCAACGACCAGTGCATCGGATTCACCGATTCCGTCTCCTTAGCCCCTGTGAATAGACAGGTGTTCAACGCGCGGATACCCACTGGGTTCGCTTGCACTTTTTCAAGTATGTTTTTGCTTCTGGTATTTTGATGCCGATCTTTGGTGTTCAAGCTATACGTCTTATATGTAGAGATGCTCGCTGTAATTTCGGTGGAGAATCTGGCCGGGTCACTTTCACTGCTGGCATCTAGGACTTCTCTACTGTGAATTTCAACGATCAGGCGAGCTCATTCTCATGCGTGGCTGTTTAGTAGGTATATGAACATTATTTAGTTTGATTAATATTTAAATTAAAAATTAAGGGAATCCGCAGACGTTCCAGATCTTTCATGAAAATATCTAATATTTGCAACTATTAATGTACATCCCCCTGCGAACGATACCACAACCATTCCAACCTTCATGTGCGGAGTTCAGAATATACAAGCTAATGATACACCAGCCCAATTTATCTTTCTTTGCACGTACTATGGTACCATACGTATTTTCGTAGCTTTCCCTTACCCTCTACATTCATTTTTTATATTCATTTGTTCAGTGAAACAATGATTTGGTTCCGAAGAATTGACTATGCCAAACATTCGCATAATCTACGGGAGTAAATGTTGACCGGGAATGAATCTGATTTAAACTCGTAGAATACCCTAATGCATCATAGAATCATTATAACTATTCATGAATGACGTAAAGCTCCAACCGTACTATCTATTTACTGTATATATACGGTATATATTGTATCTGTATACCCTATATATACGCTAGGCAGTGTATACAGATAATATACAGTATATATACAGTATATAGTTGCATAGCTGGGTGATTCGTAAATGGTACTCTGTGTATGTAGGATGTCCGAATTAGGCGTGAAACCTTCTTGACTCTTGAGCATTAGATGATTCAGGGGAAAATACGCGATTTAGCCTTTGACTCATGAGTCATAGCCCCGCCGTCATTGCCTGATCTGGATCTTTTTCAACTTTTTATCCTCCCTCACTGTTGGAATTACAAACCATCTCGCGCTTCACCTGCCCCTTAAGCACAACTCGGTACTTCTAGAATTCGACCCACCCATTATTTAGACGAGCTAGCAACGTATTTATTGCTCGGACTTGGTTACTTAGATACAAATGATTTGTATGTTCAATTCTACTTCTAGTACATACTCCTTTTATTATTCCTACCAGTATATAAGACTCTTAGATAGCGTAGAAACACCTCATTCGAATCCTATTCTGACTGAGGTGAGTTACAACATACTTACATATTTCATTTAACTCTTACTGATTATTCTCGTAGCTATATCTTATTTTATTCCGTTACTCACTATTATGGAAATACTGGATAAGCACAAAATGTGTCTCGCACTTCTTGACAGTATCCAAAACCTCGTACTGGGTCTCTCTAACAGTGTACCAGAGGCAGAACTCAAGGACGGGATTCCGGAAATCTTTGACAGGGTTAACGACACCAGTCCTCGACGAAAATTCAACCGGAGATTCAACATTTTTGTCTGGTGAAGAGTCTAAAGACTGCCGGGATGAGAATGGGCTATTCTTCAATATCCACCGTGACCATCTTGGAATAGACACATTCATGAAACAACATTCCCAACAATAGCAAGAATGGCTCGAGACTTCCACGCCATCCCAGCAACCAGCGTCTCTGTAGAACGCTTATTCTCGAAGTCACGGCACATCTACGCAAATCTTCGGAGTAGTTTGAAGGCCGATACCATTAGCGAGGCATTACTAACCAAAGTATGAATTCGAAGTGGATTTTTTGACATAAACCCGCCCCTTGTATCATTGTGTAGGCCTGGGGATGATTAGGTTACAACAACCGTATATATACTGTATATATACGCCATGGGATGTATACATATACAATACGGTTGGAGCCTTAGAATAAAGTCATGCACGCATAAAAGATCTCTGTTTCAGATAGTAGAAATATATCATATTTCTCCCCGGTTATCCCTTCTCACTATGTTCTACTCATTGAGGTGATATTAGCAATGTCATTGTATTGTCAGAAAGGATTTTCAAATACGGCTTCCTGCTATCGTCACCTCGCTGCTGTTAGAACGCTACAAATAACCCTACTGCTCTTGTTGATTACTGAGAGCCTTATGGTCTTATCTATTCGCTGATCGGACGTAACACGTACGAACTCTTACACTTTGAAATGCGGTCCTATCATTTCATTCTCATATCTTTTTACTATGATGAATTAGGGTATATTTTATTGTCTCCGATCGATTACTGACTCCGGTGCGACGAGATATAAGAGAAGTCATGTATACCTTACAAGTAGCTGATTTTGATTCTTTTCAACGTCATGCTCTGTGCGCTAAGGGGAACAGAAAAGAGTGAACGAGCAAGAAGAACGAAGAAAAAGAGGGGCACGAGGATCCGAAACGACGGTGACTCAAAAAATAGAACAAGCCGAAATACTGCAGTCTATGCGTCAGAAGAATGCTTCGTCGCTACTTACCACAAGAGATCGGGGTGTGACGAGGATCAAGGTCCAGTGCAGTGACGCAAAATCGCCTCAACGGACAACGGACAACGGACACAATGCCGAACACGACTGATGATCAACATAGACTCCAGAACACCAACCACTCACAACATGCCAGCTCTTTGGCACATCGAGCACCAGCAACGACAATGGTGGACCACCATACTACGCCGGGATCTCCCTATTCGCGCAAGCATGTCACCTCCACCAATCCTTCAACCGCGAAGGGCTGATACCCACGACGCTGAGCAGCAGCAACGACCTCCATGGGATGAGTAGGCTGCAGCACCACATCCAGGCACATATAGATGTGGCCATGGCCAAATTACAAGCTCGCTGACCAGCACTATAAGAACATCCACCAGTGAGACACGCATGTTCATCCATACGCCAGCTGGGCTGGCGACAATAACGAGGCTCTGAACTCATAACGAATAACACGTCTAGCTATCTCCACATATAGCAATCGTGTGCGAGTACTTATTCGTATTGCTGGAACCTCCCCTAGCAGCATCCTCCAGCGACGAAATATCAAAGCCTTCGATTCGTCAAAGAACCAGTCTCCAACAGGCGACATCCATGATCACTCCGGCAACGAAACCAGCTACAATGGAACAAATGGGACCTTCACTGTCGCAATCGTCCCATCCGAACTGCACTACTAGTAACAGAAGTCCCACCGACTCTTAGCAACATCACAACTAAACATCAAGAGGGCGAGAAGAAAAATGAAGCGTACAATCTAAATCCTAGGCCACGCCTCCTCGGTTTGTCCTCCAGCAGGACCGAGGTGTAGAACGTGGTGACGAGCGACATCATCGTGGGTGAGGATCGCTTAGTTGAGCCAGACCTACAGGGAGGAGAGGGGTTAGCAAGTGACACGAAGGGAAGGAAGCAGAGGAGACTGCGAATGGGCGAGGAAGGGTACGGAAAGAGGCATGTAAACAAAGCGATAATTTCAAGCAGAGCGTGAGGGTTAGGGAACGGAGGATGGAACGGAGGGAAGACGAAGGAAGATAGAGATGGAGTGGGAGCGTAAGGGATAGGAGACGAGGAGATGATCAGGAGCAGAGCAGCGAAAGAACTATCTACAGAACAAGTGGATTAAGAACGAGGAGGACGTGGGCGGAGAGAGGGAGCACAAAATATTCACCAGAAAAGCAATGCTGAAATTTGAGAAAACCCCAACTCACACGGTATATCAACGCTTTAGTGGGGGACGCAGAGTTGAGCCGGTTGTGAATGTGTACCAGTAGGGCATGGCGGGGACGGACATGGCGCCTATGGGGGAGAGAGGGTGTTAGCGACTGTGTGCAAGAGGGAATGAATTCTGTCACACTCGCCTCCATAGAACGTCAACCTCGCCATGTGCACAAGCTGTGCGAAACTGTTATTATCCATTCGAGCGTCGCGAGTAACCAGCTGCAGAAAAGATGAATTGCGTCCTACAATCCTCCGTCCTCCCGCACGTCTTTCGTCCCGCACGCCTCCCCTCCACGCGAACTAAAATCAATACTCTCTCCACCGCTTGCTGCGCGACTACATCTCCCGTTCCGAACAGAAATGCAGCAGTTGCGCATTGTGTTGCCAGGACCAGCGCAGGAGAAGGGCGCTCTAGTTGCAGAAGAGAAACATGGGGTGATTATAGACAGGTTTGGATAGAAAGGAAGGGAGGAAGGAAGACGCACTTGTACGCCCAGAGGAGACTATCCATGCTCTTCTACTTCTACATACTATCGTCCTTGAGAGTGTATAACGTGGCCACTTCTAGTCTTCCTTCCAAATCTTCGTGTGCATCGGCAGTGTAGTGGCTCGTGCGTCGAACAGCGACGTGCAGGAGTGGATGCAGGGAGAGGAAAGGGGCCAAACGTGGGACGAGTCTGTTCGAGCACCCCACAAACAGGAGCAAGAGCTCGGCTCGGAGATACCGTCCAGCCCTACTCCTCCGGCCGTAAGGCGCTACACGTGCCCACCATGAGTGACTGTGATTATTGTGACACGTCGATTTATATACCCGCTCTTGTAAAGGCTATTGTGGGTGCTAGGGGTGGCTACAGGCGTTTAAATTTCATATAAATACCCATGAGTATCTTTTGTGTAAGCATTTGTAATCTTGTGTTTGATTTTCTCTTCATTCTGCTGTGATGGTGAAGACAAGCAATGGCTAATAGGTATGTTGTGACGCTCAGTAAAAACGAAAATTCAGACCATAGTCCAACAATAGTCCTGTAATTATTTATCTGACTATTGTCGGCCGAATTGTCGTGTTTTCTGAATA